CCTTAATTGGAACGGTACGCCACCCTCTGTTTTTACGGAACGCCACTATAGTGGATTTCGTGGATAGCACCAATTTGGACGGCACTATAGTGACTTTCGTGGATATCATGATTTTCGACGGTATTATACATTTTTTTCTTTATTTCGCATTTGTTTCGCCTAAACCACATTTCCTGGCAATATCGAAGCTGTCTCGTTGAAGAGTACACGTGTCAGAGAATCGTCATGAACGGTTTTTGTGCCGAGCGCGCCGTACCTAAAAGGTTAATACGTATGCTACCTCTACAACTCGAATTTTGTTCTCCAAGTTAATTTCTTTCTAATTCGTGTCAGTCGATCGATCCAATAGGATCAACGGTTCCGACATCGATCGTCAATTGTGTAGGCTTTTTGGGACGGTTTATGGCTTGGCCTGCGCCTCTTGGCGAGTGACAAACACCAGACCGGGAGTACCCATCGGTTCGGCCCAGCGATATCTTTGCCATTTCGACGGGAGTCGGTTCTTAGCTTCGGTAATAGACGGACGCCGAAGTAAACTACTTTGCACGACATCCTGGTTTGAGTAAAGTTCATTAGACCACCTCCTACAATTGTTTATTCCTTCATGGAGATAAACAGTTCTAGTTTTGATGAGAAAAACAGTTCGCCGTGAAATAAGTTGAAACACAGTTCCATCGTTTCTCATTCCTTTCTCCGGATTATGTGTAACAAAGTGGATTCCACACATAAGCAGAAAACATTAACATTCGCCGATAAAATAGACGTAATTGAAACAGTAAAAACTTTTCTCTTCCCTTGGCATTCGACTTATCGAGCTTCCACTGCACTTAATTCGATCCTTCACTCGCGTCCACCTTAATTCACCAAACAACACACGCCCGGAAACAACGAATTTCGCAGTGGTGGTTAAAAATTCACCGCATACCTTTCGTACGCGAAGAAGAAGAAAAAGAACGAGGGTGAATTGACGTATTGCGGCGATATTTCCGTGATCATCTTCTTCGCGATAGTCGTAAACACAGGTCGTTCTCGGATAGCAGGGGTGCGTTAATGTTCGGGGGATGAAATGAGAATTCTTCGAGTCTCGGGTGAAGTATTGTTCGACGGGAACACCAGGAAGTTGGTTGAATTATTGTTTTCAGTCTTTTGTGCCTGACAGGTATAACGTGATTGAAGCGATCGACGGTGTACCGTTTCGTTGGAAAGGAGCGGAAGGTGATGGTTATTCATCGGTGATTCCGGCGAAACTTCGGTTCGGTAGCTAGTGGATCAGAGGGAACGTTGTTCGGTACAGGTTCGAATAGCTTGGAATATTCGACGATAAAGAGGGTGTTTTATGCGATAACGCGTTGAACAGCAGCGAGCTGGAGCTCCTTCGGAGAAGAAGAGCGGCTTAATAGCAGCGGGTCTCATAATCGTACGACCCGAATTTCAATCCCGCCCCGGAGTGCGTATATAATATTTCTCTCTCTTTTTCTTCTTTTTTTCCCCTGTCGACCAACTCTGCGCTTTTCTTCGCGGCCGGAACCGGCTGCGAAACACTGATTAGATCTCGCTTTTTTCAGAGGACGACCGGCGGAAAATACGTTTTCAGGTATGAAACTGATAAAACGAAGCGTGAATATCAGTTTAATCACGCTTCTCGGTTATGCGAGAGAACTAATAGCCCGTTAATTTTGTCGAGAGAAAAAAGAAGTTGCCGTATTCTTTTTCAAACGTTCTTCCCTATCTGGGAAATTCGAATTCTGCGAATTTTCCAAGTTTCGCGAACTATGATTACGAAAGTGTACTAATTGGTCCGGAAGACGGAGGAAAAAGTCGGAGTAAAGGGAGAAGAAGGTGAACATTTTACGTGGAGATGTATTTTCGAGGAGAGATTTATCGGTGATCGGTTATCAGCGCCGGTAAATGAAACACAATTTCGACCAGCTTAAATATCCAACAAAATTACTAGCCTCTCAACATAGATCAAATATTTTTTGATCCTCTATTGGACCGCGCGTGGAAATTCGCGTATAAAATTTCATACAGTTTCCCTGTCGACACGGTTTAACAGCGTGTTTCGCGGTTTTTCAGAAAAATCGTATATAACAGGTGCTAAACGTGTGTACCCATTGAAAGCGGCGTAGATAATTTAACTTGAAGCGTTAAATAGCCGTCATTTTCCACAAAGCGCGAAATAATCTTTTGTTTAACGCGGATAGTTTGATCTTCGACGTGCATAATCGAGATTAAAAGCAGAAGAAAATTTCAATCTGTCGTAAAACGACACGCAAAATATTCTCCCTCCTTGAAACAAAAAAAAAAAAAGACGGATAATTTGATTATGTCACAAGATCTCTCGAAGATCAATCCTCGCTCGATTTATTTATCACGCCTCGAATTGAACAAAATCACCGAGAGATTCAACCTTCCAACCTGTCAGTCTTCCATAAACGAGGGCTGCCCGCCGTTTCGAAAGGTAAAATCGAACGATATTTCCCAAGCTACGCTACCTACCGCCCCCGCGTTTATAACTTTCCAAGGTGAACTATATTCGTGCGTTGCTAGCCGGCCCATACAATGCCTAATCGAACAAAGCACACTTTTATCGCCCCCAGTCTAACCGCGGCAAGAACACCACCCGTGAAAATTTTACATTTTACACCCGTGCACCATAAACATACGACGAGGAAACTAGCGACGCGCCTTTTTTCCCTTTTTTATCAGCCCCACTAAATCCGCCGCCCGGAAACCGCGTTAGCCGACCCCTTGCCCGCCGCTATTTATCGCCGCCGCGTCGGTGAATTCCCTTGCTCCCCGGCGCGGGGGACTTGCCACAGCCTACGCGTGAAATAAATCGCGCGGTGTCGCGAAATTCCGCGTAAGCGGGCCGTCGGGTAGCGCCGTTGCGGAGCATAATGTCGCTCGTAAACTGCGCGGAAAGCCGGCGGCGGTGTGCGGTTCTCGCGGGCAGGCGGGCTGGCTTCACCGCCAGGCCAACGTGACACCGGAGAGTGGCTCGCAATCGATATCGCAAGGAGCCGCGTTGCCGGTCCACCGGTCTCTCCAACCGGGACTCGTCTTCCCAGCCCTGGATTGCAAGCGCGACTCGCTTGCCAGCCGACGAAACAATGCGACGAGCTGACCGCTGGCCTTTGTCTTCCGGTCGATTGATCGATGCTCTTGCGGTTGTTCCTCTCGTTGTTCCTTCCCCCTTTTTCCCCCTCACACTCCCTTTCTCTCTTTCTCTCTCTGTCTGTTCTCTTTTTTTTTTCACCGGTTTTTTTCTATACATCGAGCGCAGGTCGGTTGCACGAGTACAGGTTCGAGTGATAAATTCCCGGCCGCCATGGTCGATTCATCGAGATCGAAGACGTCGAGCCTGGAAGGTAGCGACAAAAAACGCCTGGCGTATACCACCGTTCTTACTCGCAGGAGCTCGGGAGCCAGGAACGCTGGCGCGCTTGGCCAGTACGTAGAGCTTTGTCTGTGCGCGCTCTGCTTTAGAGGTGATCGCGAATGTACTCTGTCGTTTTTCAAACCCCTGTCAGACTTGCGCTATGGACAAACGTCTGACGAGGTTTCCTAGTTTTCTCGATGTAGATGTGTGCGGAGGTGGATGGTAGTGGTGGGTTTAGGGAGGTTCACTTTTATTATGGAGTTGTAGGATTGTAATGGAGCCAAAAGATCGTGGAGTAGGAATAGAGTGGATAGGAAGAATTTCGTTTGGCTGGATTAAGTTGGACAGGGAAGATCAGCATTGGGAATTGTACGCAAAGAGAAACGTTGGAGAGGAGGTCGAACTACTTCGGACGAAAGCTAACCCTCGATTCGCACGATATCAGAATTGTACGGTTTCTGTTTAACACTTCTCGCCTCGCGGCTCACGGAATATTTCGTATTTCCAATTTCAGCACTGCCACGATGAGCTGCGAATTATTCCACGGATAGTGACTCGTTCGAGTGAAAAATTCGTATTATGTAACGATTGAGCGTAACAGTGGAAGTAATTGTTTGTAATTTATTTGGAAATTGGAGAATTGCAAACGTACAGTATTGAAAAATGGCGAAATGTCATTTCATCGCGACTTTTCTCGCGATAAAATTGTAAAATCGGAACAATTGTCGGTAATTTACGTATTGAAAATAATTATTTTCTGATCGATATGCGAAAATGATGCAGCTTTAATTGTTAGTTTCGTGAACTTCGCAGTACACCCTATTTTATCGCGAAACTTTTTACCATTTATCAAATATCATTTTGTTATTTGTTAAAATTTCTGCAACTTTTTTTTTTATCTCGATACGTACGATTTTGATACAGCTGGAGTCAGCTGAACGTGTCAATCAAGGATTAGGTGTATTCACACTTAGGGGAACGTAGAGAAACGTCTCTACGCTCAAAGAAACAAATTTAAATAGACAGAAATACTCAGACGTTAATAGACTTCCCGTCCATCAGACCTCCCGTGTACACGTTATTACTTTTGCACAAGCAGACACGTTTGTCAGATGACTAGAGGCCACAGATATAAGCTTTTCAATCTCTAACATCATCTCTTTCAAGCCAGTCAGAATTTTACTTTTTTATTGTCCTCGTTTGTTTGCTATCTACGTATGATTCACCTGTATCTAACAGCATTAATCCTTTACTTAACCATTTAACGCTCACAAATAAGTTGAATCTTCCTTTTTCATTAATTATTTCCTAGGCTAATAGAAATAAGTTTCCCCATCAGTTATACGCTCTAACCCTAAATAGGACCCTAATTTATTTTCATTGGCTTCGATCATCCTTCGATATACAACCACAATCTAGAGGAATTCGAAAAATCTCTCCCACGCGAGCAACCCGCGCAAAACCTGTCAAATTTCACGTGCAGCAATAATTCATCGCACAAAATAATCCTCATCCTCGAATAGATTACAGTTTAAGATACGATTCCCGGTACTTAATAGAAACTTCCGAAAACTTGTGAGCCGTTACAGTGTGCAAGGATATCGGCACACTCCGAACTTCCTTGGTCGTTAATCGTTAATATGTCGCAAACTATTAGCCGTCTGCTCTGTTGAAAATAGGGCATTGGTGCTAGCTAGTTCGACGACTTCTCGCCAACTAGCAAAAGAGCTTACGTTTGAAAAGTGTACGTGAATGCGTGTACCGCAAGGTTCGAGAAGTTCCGCGTTCCCTCGAGAAAGCAGGAATATAGGAAGCACGCTGTACAATCGAATAAACCAAGTACATATATATGTAATTCTCTGTTTTGCAGAAAGGCGAGTCTAACGCGACCCATGTCGCACTTACGAATCTAGAGTTGGACGCAGCGGGGATGTACAGCTGCGAGGTGTCCGCGGATGCTCCTTCCTTCCACACGGCCATCGTCAACGCCCCCATGAACGTCGTCGGTAAGGGGACGTGTTTATTAACCCTCACAGACCAGGATGAAGGAGAAGCTTTGCTCGAGTAACACACGGACACACTTGCACACAGCGAAAGGAAAACCGTCGACGACGTCTATATAGACGTGTGCGACACGTGTATATATACATGTACCACCTTAACACAGATGTCGGCTAGTCTGTAGTGTTAGATCGCTCGCGCACTTTCGAACTGAGAATTAATGCCAGCCACCGGCTCGGTGGACTTAAGGGCTTACGCGAATCGCTGTGGACCGAGCCGAAGATAATACTGCGGGTACACGCGGCGGAATGAACGGGAATTAGGTGTCTTAGGCGCCCGGGGAATGAAGCTACCCGCGGTTAGGTTTTGCTCTTCCTCGCGTTTCCTATCCCCCCCCCTCTCTCTCTCTCGTCGGTTCTTTCGAAACCGGCTGCGAAATTGGGTGCAGCAGGGGAATTTATGTCGACGTTTTATTTCGGTTCTCCCCGCCTTTTTTCGCCGTTTTTCGCGGATTTACCGGCCGATCGAGGGGTGGGAGAAGGTTTCTCTTGGGGTAGAGAGATGGGCGAACGTTTGTCAACACTTTGCAGTCCGTCGGGCGACAAATTGAAGAGCACCGTGGTAACGAAGTTTCGGTTCGTGGAACGGGTTGAACGCTCCTTTGTGAGCGTTTGTGCGACGGTAAATTTAAGGATGTTCCGTTTGACGCCGCGTTTCGAATGTAATCGAAGCAAATGTAGAAGAGGAGGACGATTGCAGTTATCATTTTGCCGTCTGTTCATCAACGCGCGGCGGGGGAACTCGTCGGAAGGTATTAATTAAGAGAGCGACCAGAGCGATCTCAGGTTTATTCGCGCGGTGTGTTTCTCTCGGAACGAACCGCTTATGGTAAAAAATGGAAATTTTAGTACGGTCGTCGGAGAGAGGGGTTGCCTCGTAGAATCTAGAACGTATGAGGAGGATGTATAGCCTTTGTGCTATTGTACATTCGACTGGAACGGTTTGTTGGAGAATATTAAGATCCCTTTCTTTAAACGTGTTCCACGTACAATCAAGCCAGGCAAACGGAATTACCATTTTGATCCATACATTTGTACGTAATTGCCGTTTGTTCGAGTAGAATTACGGTTTAACGAGCGTTTTACGACGCTGTTAAATCTTCTCCCCGTCTGTGTTAACTGGAAAATTGTAGAACGGTCGCGCGGACATTTTCCAAATTCTAAGGAACGAAAAAGTTTGAGCGGGGGTGGCTGCGTATCAGAGAATATGATTAAAACATCAATCGAGAAGGGAAAAGGTGGAAGAAGGAGAGAGGGGGGAGAGGAATGGAAGTGAAAGCAGAGGAAATTGTTAGGAAGCCCAGAGGCGGTTGCTTAAAGCGAGAATAAGGCTAATGAACTGCAACATTCTCCGGCAAGCTTGATAAGAAGCGGAACGTTCGAACTTGAACGGGAGAGGTTCACGCGTTCGTGCTCCCGCCGATTGCTGAATTTTCATAATGGAATCTGTTTTTGATTCGTTAACAACCGGTCGGGAAAAGGGGAGCAGAGGGGGGGGGGGAAGGGGAGCTCTGTTTGAAATTCACGATCGACGCGTATACCATTACGCGTATCTAAATTTCATCTTGTTATGAATCATCGAATTTCTCTTTACATAAATATTCACTTTCGACGTCGAGTTTCGAAACGATTTATTCGATTCACTCCTGTTCCCCCCTTCGCTCTCCCTCCGGCTGTGTTAACACACGCGCCGATATACAAACCGACGTTCGATCGAATTAGCTGTGCTTTTTCAGAGAGAAACGACACGTCGGCGTCGTTCGAATAGCAAACGCACCGGGGACGAACCACCGCGGAAGTATTCAAAAGTACCGATCGTTTCCAATTGTCTCGTCCTGTTTGCGTCGCGTTGCTCGTGTCGACGTCGACGGCCGCGTGTATAACTCCCGGCGAATCAGAGGGACTTGCCTCCGCGGTTTCCTGCGCGGAAACACGAAACTTTCCGCGATCACCAACGGCGATGTCGGATGGAAAAATTTTCGTCGGAAAGTAATATCGCGGCGAGTAAGTTCGCGGAAGAGAGGAATTTTTCGTACGAAACCTGTCTCTTTCTCTCTCTCTTCTCATCCTCTAAACGTCATACCCAAACCCAAACCCTCTCTCTCTCTCTCATCGTCGATATTTATACACGAAATATTTTTACTAGAGAAATATCGAACGGTTGCGTGCACAGCTTCGTGCACGATAATAATAAGAGCAGCTCGTTTACTAGGATAAAAACGTTTTCATCTCGTGCTCGCCGTCCCTTTATTCGCGGAGCTTCTTCCCCCCGCCCTGCCGCCTGTACAAAATTACGCGGGGGAAAATTTCGCGACAGACAGAAATATGAAATTTTCTCTTCTTCCTTTTTTTTTTTTCTTCTTTTCGTCGCAGAAGAAAACGCGCTGGCCTCGTATTTCTGGAAAACGTTTACCAGAGACAAAGATAACGGAGGGGCGGGGGAGGGTGTACTATACTCAGGTCGGTAGAGAAAACAGAGAGCTTAGGTAGGTTCCCTTTGGTTCGACGACGTTGAATCCTACAACGTGCACAAATCCCTTCGTTTGTTTTTTGCAACTTTTAATAAGTCCCAAACTTCGCGTAGGAACGGCAATAAAAGGGCCGTGTACGTACACGTGTGAAAGAAAACTTTTTTATCAGCCGAAGAGCACGCGTGTGTGTGTGTGTGTGTGTGTTTCCCGTGGCCGGGCAAAGTTTCTCCACCGCGGAACCCTCCTCACTTCGTCGCTCTCTTCACATGTTTCGTTTCACGACGAACGAACGCACAGCTCTCCTCCTCTCCCAGTCACTTGAATTCTCTCTCTGTACTATCCCCGGCAGAACGGGCGAAACACAAAAAGAAAGAGAAAGAAGGGAAAGCAAATAAAAAAAGGAAGAAAAGGAAGAAAAAAGGAGCGGGGAGAAAAAATGACGACGACAAGGAGGAGGAGGACGAGTCGAGAGGTGGAGGCTCTCGCAAATCACGAAAACGATACGAAACAAAGAAGGGTAGGATAAGAGGGAAAAGAAGGGAAACACGCGAACAGGGATCCGCTGCTTAAACGGTCCCGTTGTATATCCCGGGATGGAAAAACGAAACTCGCGACGTGCCTCGAACGTGCGCGCGCGAATCTACTTGCTGCTCTACACAACAACGCACCTGTCTACCCTCTGTCTTTCTACAAGTACACGCATGTGCCTCTAGCTATACACACGCAGACACGTGTGTGTCACTGTTCATACAGAGGAGCGAAAAATATCAAACGCACGGTTCGGAAACACTTCCACGGAAATATTTGGCACGCTCCGGTCTGAAAAGGGGGAACGGGACAATGCTGTCTCCCTTACGAATGCATTATTCCGATATCGAAACGCGAGCGCGCGAATTGCCAGGCATAAAAGAAGAATTTTTCATCAGTCGTGCTCTGCCCGCGCCCGCGCGCACATCCCAAGAGCCCATTATACACATACGCGTATATAGACATAGACACGCAAGTGTATAGAGGCGGTCTGTACATCCGGGAATCTTGAAAAGTTTCCTCCGCCTCCTATCTCGCGAATGCTGCTCCACCGTATATACATACGTAGGAACGGTCGAACGTCAAAGCGGCGTTTCGAACATGCTTCGCATACTTCCGGCCCCGTGTGTACCTGACGTCTCTTGTTCCGCAGAATTACCCTCTCAAGGGCCGTCGATACATGGGTTAAGGAGGAAATACCGGATCGACGATATGCTACGTTTGAACTGCACATCCGGACGGAGTAAACCCGCGGCCAATCTCACCTGGTACATCAACGATCGACAAGTACGGTTTGGTATATACGAGAATCGTGAATAGCTACCAACGAATTCCTCAGACCCTTGCTTTCCCATTCCTCTCTCTTTCTCTGCCTTTCTTCTCGATCTCTCTCTCTCTTTCTCTGGCTCCTGTAAGACACAAACCAAGCGCGGCCCCTCGTTTTAGCATTAAGGGAACGCTCGCGTCGTTTCTGTTGAATGGACGAAGGGGCTGTATACACACCATCGGTTGCTCCCGCTACCGGGAACAATTAGTGAATCGTGTCTGAGATTTTGGAGATTGAGTTAATTGTTACCGAGGTCGAGGGAACCACCGCGTTGCGCCGCAGTTGTAGAGTTCGATGGCTTAACACGTTCTTACGCTCACCACCTATAGACCCCCGCAACTATAAGTAACTCGTCGGTGGCGCGATACTCGGAGAACGTGCTCTGTGCCGGGCGAAGTGGAGGGTCTCTCTGTCTATCGATTCAGCCGAATTCGTGCACCGACACTGCGGTTTTATTTTTCAATTCGCCAACTAAAACCCGTGAGATTAAATTAAGAAATCGAAGCAAATGACCGGATGCCGTGGAAATAGACCAGCGTGACGTCATTGGAAGCGGTTCTTCGCGCTTTCTCGAGCGATCCTTCCGGTTAATTCGACGCTTTATTTTCGTGCTGCGGGATTCTCAAATTGTGTGTTTCCTTTTCTTTCCAAGAACTCTGTTGACTGATGTGAAATTGACGTTTGGTTAACTTTACAGAGAATAATCTGTTGTACAATAGAGCCTCTGGCGAAAAAATTAGGGACACTCGCAATTTTTAACATCCTTCCTATTTTTAGTCAAATTTGGAAGCTTGAATGTAATAATTCTTAATAATTTCCGTTTCCCCCCTTTGCTTTGATTGCAGCATTTCTGCCGTACTCTGCATGCACCCTTTTATCGTGTCCTTTATTTTTCGATGATTTTCCAAATATCCAGAATTTTTTCCTTTACAAGTGTTTTAACCCTCTGTGGGCCGAATTTTTTTCTCGACTATAAAAAAATGTATGTAACGTGAAATTAAGAAATATCGTCCCATAAATACGGAATAACAATGAATTCAGCAGTTTCAACAATTTTATTATAACGAATACATATTGTGACTTTGAAGTAACAACGGTTATCAAGAAAGTTACTGGTTAATAAGGAGACATTGTGCAACAAGGCGTTTACGCCATCTTGTGCAAAAAAGTTCAATTATTTAATAAAATATCGATATATTAGTATGTGACCTGAAAGTTACACGGGCCCATAGAGGGTTAAGTAAACTCCAAAAATTCTCGATTGAACGAATATCGGGAGACTTGCCTGACCGCGACAATATGGAGATTTTCATCGAAGACATTCCAATTCCCATTCTGCAAGACAGAAAGACAATGTTAGAACTTGCATGTATCGCCAAAACACGAAAGATGTAAAAAATTCTAAGTGACCCTAATTTTTCACCAGGAGCTGTATACTAGTTCAATGAATGAAAAATGGTCCAGAGTCTTAACTCCATACATGTGTACGAATCGATGGTTCCGCTCAGATATGTTCCGAGTGATTGAATTAGAGCGTTCGATGCGAAACGAGGGGCGAAGTGGATATGGAATTAGAATATCGTTCGTTACGTTGGTCTCTTTGCTCTGTAATTTATTCAGATGTCCATACTTTCTCACGTCCCCTCGAACTTTTTCACCCTTTCTCTCATCGTCGGTAAGAACGGTCACGTTTGTTCAGCTGGTCTCGAACTAATACGTGCTCGTCTCGAATGTCAAATCTCCCTCGAGAGAAATTTCCTCGTAGATGCTTAATAGACAGAACGAGCATAGTTCGCTCGTTTTAATTCGAAATGTTAATACACCTTGTGATATCATTTTTACCGCTCGTTAAATTCGGTAGAAAGTGCCCGTCCAAGTATCTGTAAACTCACCGTCCACGAACATCCCTCTACCGTAATTGTTCCAAGTAACGGCGAAGATTTACGAAACGAACAGTTCGCGGAATTATTAGAAAATCGCGCAATTCAGTTTTTGCACGGTATTGTTTCATTATGCGTTTCACGGCCGTTCGTTTCTAGGAAAATTTTCCTCGCGAACGAATATACACACGCGCGTGTCCCCCGATTGGAAAGAGCCGCGGAGATTTGATTTTCCAATGAAACGTTACGTAACGAAACCCTATAAACGAGTTTTTCCACTGTCTGTCCCCTCCGTGATTGGTGTCTTTCAGAAGGGCAACGTTGCGAGCGTTGCAACGCTATGACACACACAGAGAAAAAACAAAAACGGCAGCAGCAGCAGCGGGAAACAGAGAGAGAGAGAGAGAGAGAGTGGTGCAAAAAGTTATCGAAGTTTCTTGGACGTATAATGACGGTGTTATCAAAACATGGCGCTGTCGAATCGGTTGTCAATCAATTCGTTACTCGGCGCACGCTCTTATCGATAAAATGGTATTGTTGCTCGACAGAAACAAAAAAAGAAGGAAAGGAAAAAATCGAAAAAATAGACCAGCACACTTTTGACGTTCGCTATAGATGCTCTCGCTCGCTCGATCGGACGGTTCAAGCGAGAAAACCTGTTCCCGTTTGACTTCTGCTCGTTCGAAAGTTTTCGCGAAATTGGATTACCACGGAAGAGGGAAATATCGAAGTTTCTTCGTGAACTGAGACAGAGAACGCCTATGTTTGGTTGAACGATGTTCTTAGTAATCCGGAAGGAAAGATTTTCAGGTAACAATGAGATCGCTAATCCTTGGCAAGTCCAAGTATACCTGTGGGGCGCACCGGAGTTTGGACAAACATTAGCTATAAATGTTATTATCCCCGTAACTGAAACACTTCCTGGCATATAAAGGGGTAGATGTATTCGCATAACTCCTTGGTTCGTGTTTCCAGCGATGTTGCATCCTCTATCTTTCCCCACTTTCAACCGAAGCTTCTGGGTTGTCAGTCATTTTCTATCGTAGCAGAAGTGTTTGCTGTTGTTCAGAGAAGTTCGAGGGAAGAATATACTCTACGTTTTCTTTTAACTGTTTTATTTCGTCGAAATAATCGAGAAAGTTGAAGTTCCCGTGACATTTCTCGAGTTTGACGAACATCAGATTCCACCAACTGTCGCAGGAACTCCGAGATCCAATAAGCGATTTGCCCGGCCGCATTCTTCACTTTCGAAATGCTTCAAATCAATTCTTGACAGTCCTTTCCCCCTAATCGATCATTTATTCGTTCTGCTGTTTCAGCTGCGAAGCCATAGACTATTGCCCCGATCTGCTACGAATCCATTTCTTCAAAAGTACACGATAATGTAATTAGTTATAGGTTATTTCGTTTCTTTCTGAAGTCCGAAGAGTCATTGTCTTTCGTGATTTTTGTAAGTCAGTGTCATCAAGAGATACTTCGATCATCTCGTGATCGAGAGAAAATTGAAACACATCCCCCTTTCGTACTACAAATCGACGATCATCGCCTTCAAACCCTTCAAATTTCGTATGCATCGTTTCGATCGCAGATGATCTCGTAATCGAGAGAAAATTGGACAAAACGAAGCTAATCACATCTTACCAGATATGCTAAAACTAATCCGACTCAAGCTCGACGCGTCCCCCTTTCATACTACAAATCGACGATCGCCTCTTGAAACGTTTCCAAAATCCCCTCAAAGCCTTACTTCAACTTTCCCTATTAATACCGATCGAGGTGAATACTTTCATAACCGCCGTCAATCGTCAAGTTTCACCCAAGCAGATGCTCCCAGATGCGAATGCTACCCATTCCCCGCCCCCTAAGAACTCGTCAAACTCATTAACAATCCACCGCGTGAGACCGCGAACGATCGACTCAAGAATCCCTCCCCAGAAACGTTGAACGGAGCCGCATTACCTCCCCCTCCCCCGTGGGAGAAGTTGGAGGAGATTAGCGGATTCCAGCGGTCGATTAATCGGCAAAATTCACCCTTAGAGCTGACGTAACGATTATCCAATTAATTATCGGCCGGGGATAGCAAGTGTCTAGCAGGTGGCCAGAGAATTTTAATAGACGTGTCCTTCGTCGTCGTTTAACCGATCGTACCGATCCAAATTGTCACGCAGCCCCTGAAATCGTACGTCCGCACGTACAGCCCCCTCGACACGAACGAGTCCGAGTGGCATATCTCCCAGATCGGCCTTCAGTTTCTCGTTACACACGACCATTTCACCGTCGGCAAGCTGAAGATACGGTGCAGCGCCTCGATATACGACATATACTGGCAGAGTACCGAGGTCAGCACAGAGGAGGACAGACCTAGGGTGATCCACTACGAGCCAGCCGCCACCATTGTCGGTATCAACTATCTTCAACCACCGCCGAACTTCCAGACAGGACAGAAGAAACCTGACGGCCACGTTGGAGTGAAAGGTAACCAAGTTTCACCTTTTCTTTTCTCTCTCTTTCGAACAGAGAATTTTAGGGTTGTTACAGCGGGGAGAGAGAGGAGAGGATTGTTAAGCCTGATAATAGGCTTGTTGCCGCGTTCCGAGTTTCTTCGTGTCTTTAGCTCCGGGTGTTTATAGGAAGGGTGGCTCTCGCCGGGGGAAAAGCTTGTCTGTCGCTGATTGAACTCTCGATAGGCGATACTATTGGAGCTTGTTTTCCAGACGCGAGAGGGGCTCTTCCTGGTGTATCTTTTCTGCTCGGAGTTTTTATTGGTAATTTCGGCGAGGGTTTACGACTAAGGGTGAGATATTAAGGCGTTCGAGTTGGAATATTGCGACGTGGGTTTTTCTCTGTTGGTTTAATTCTTGTTTAGGTCGGGGGGAATTTTGAACGGCGTTGGAGAAATTCGGAATTTAGAGTGGCAAGTAGTAAAGTGTACAGCCACGTAGAGCAAACAGTTTTAACTTGTTTAATTTTTGTAGAAGTTAAGGTGAGTTCGATGAACTGTTTAGCTTTCTTTTAGAAACAGATCGTTTTTCTTCACGAAAGTTTTCACTTCTTCAGGTTAACGATTCTAACACGAGCTACGAAGAGATGTCTAGTTTACACGTATATACGTGAAATTTGGGAGAGATTAGTCGATGCATTATTGAGGAATCACGGTGGCCAGTTTGCTAAACACGGTTTCTAGAAAAACTCGTTTAAAGTTTTCCTACGCTTAGCGTTTCCAGCGGCGCGTCACTTTCTTAAAATCATTGTAACTTTTTCGTTCGGTCGATTACAGGCGTAGAATTTCAGCAACACGTTATCGAAACATCGAACTTCTAAGAAAGTCGGATTTTCGTTTCCAAATAAGAACACCCGTTTAATATCTTCCAACAGACTCCAGCTGTCCAGGTAAGGGTTAAATCATAGTTCAGATAGAATCTAGAGATTAGCAAAGTTCCTCGAGAACGTCGTCCAAGCTTATCCGCGAATCGTGCTAATAAATTGGTAACTAGAAAGAGTTGCTGCATTTCGTACAAAAATGATCCTAGGCCACACTCGTGACTAGAATTTCCCTTATTCTCACCCGCGTATCGATACATCGATGACCAGCATTGCGTAGCTTGAATTGCAAAGCTCGGTGGACGTGCGACGAATTCAAGCGTCGCCATTTATACGCGAAGTTAAAAGAACGTTCGAAAATAGTGAACTCCTTATACATAGTTTAAAGGAAGAAAAAAGAGGAGAGGAGAAAAAAAGCGAAGAGAAAACGCTTTCATTAAAAGCCTGGCCATTGATCGATCGCAGGAGGGGAAAGCGCGACGCGATACGATTCTCGGAGGTTTAAAATTTCCCGCTTGAATGGCGCGGCATTTAAAACCCCGCGCGATTCATTCCGCGGCGAATCGTCTCAACGAAGGACATCTGTTCGCGTTAACGAGCCAACGCCAGTCGCCGGCACCGACTGATTAAATCGACCAATCGAAATTTCCTACCGTTTTTTTTCTCTTTCTCTTTCTCTCTCTGCTCTCCGCTTCTCGCGACGATAAACGAGCCAACCGTGGCGCGGTCGAGCATCCGCTTGTTTGTCCATCGCGCGGTCCGGATAATCTGACCAGCCAAATTATCCTGGTTAACGTCAAATAGCTCGGTACACCATCAAATAATTCGTTTCACGCCGGCTAATCCGAGGCTGCGGCAAAGATAATTCCCGACGCATTCCACGATTATTTGCTGCGGCTTTGGATTATTTCGCGTCAAGTGAGAGTCCACGCTTCAGCGCGGTCGTGGCCGGATACGGTGCGGAATATCGCGACGAGAGATACAGGGAAAAGTAGGGAGTTTCTTGTCACTTGTCTTGTGAAAATGTCACGTTCGGATTATCGCCGTGGATGCTGACACGTTCGAGTGATTCCCTAGGATTGTAGCATGTGTTAGGTGTACTTAATTAACCCTTTGCTGCCGGGTTAATTGTGAATAACCGGGTCGTTTCAATTTTTTTGTTTTATTTTACGTTAAATTATTTCGAAATTATAGTTTCCCGCGACATAGGTACGTGAGTTTATGGCAGAGGTGACTGTTTTTATTGCTGGAAAATATGCGAGTTGTTGGTTGCGTCCTCAAAGGGTTAATATTCGAATAGTACAGTTGGTTAATTTACTATTTCGAGCTCTGTTCTCGAATGCCCCATTTTTTAAATGTTCGATATTTGCTTTTTATCCTGGCTCACACCACAGGCCACGTCCGTTCTGATTAACAATCGTTTCGGCTTTTCCGCTTTTCCGAATCGTACAACACCATTTTTAAAGAGATCGTGTTGAATACACTTACAATTCGGTCAATTTTCATTATTCTCGACACATTTCACAGGACACTCAAATTCACGCGACAACGAACAGGAATTTCCGAATTTTCTGAACGCTGAAATACGAGGATGATTTCGCTGTATTTACAAGAAACGACGAAATCAGCTTCGTTTACGCGGCAAACTGGCCACGTGCCGTTCTCCGCGAGACAAATGAAAAGTGGTACTTTTCATAAAGCACGTCGAACTGTTGTTCGTCGACGACAACAGAGAAAACAATGCGGAGGCAAACGAACAGAAGGGTCGGAGAAAAATGAAAAAGGAACGGCCACGATATCGGTTTCCTCTTGGTTCGAGCTCGTCGAGTTTATATAATAACCGCGCCGGTCACGATTCAATCGAAATCATATCAACCGGGGGGGAAAGGACACGGTTGAATTCGTTGCTCGTGGTTTGCAAAAACTTCGCTTCGTTATTTGAGTTAGCTGTTTGCCTCGTTATAGAAACCGCTCTCCCAGTTTCCATTCGCGACACTTCTCTCCCTTTTAACCCTTTCTCCCCCTTGTTCGCCCCTTTTCACAATTTCTTCACCCTTGATCCTACCAAAGCAAGTTACCACGATAAACGTAATATTTCCTCGTTAGATCGCGAACAATCGTTCCACGCGAAAATCAAAGTCTACGCTTCGGTGACGGAACCGCGACAATCAGATTTGCGGACGAATTAACCGCACAGCTGTACAGCGTGTAACTGTGACGATATATAGGCGTTAATATTCACGTGTGCGTGCGTGCAGGTAGATGATGGGTAGGATAAATTGTGCAGGATGATTTGTAACAAAGTATAACTATAACATATAATATAATAGTAAAACCGACGATGATTAACGATAATTAATGCCAGCTCATGGATCCTCACCGCTCCTGTTAACTTTATTTACCCGTGCGGATGGTGTTTGCGCGACCCGGCGTACTTTCGAACGCGTTCCGCTTTAAATTTGCTAAATTAACCGGGAGAACGAACGAGCATTGTAAAACGCGGGGTAATACGCGCGATTAACCGGTGTCATAATTAGGGTTCGTTTGCACGACAGAAATTCATAGAGAAGGTTCTCGTTCAGACGAATGGATAACCAGAGAGTGAGAGAGAGAGAGAGAGAGGGTGAAAGATAGTAGGTGGTCGCGTTACGGTCACGGTTCAGTCGCAGTTCGTTCAAATGTTATTCGAGGCCTCGGAGCGTGACTGGGGTGAGCCAAGTTAGTTAATTCAGTCGAAGAGCATTGAATAATATTTGATCGAGGCCTGGTGACTGGATCGAGACTGTCGGCGTAAATCAAGTCGCACGAGGATAGCGACGGTGGTCCCACACGCTGTGTGGGTTAATTAGTGGATCGGGCAAGTGAAACCCCTGGTGATCGAGTGTCGAAAAGCTGAAAATCATTTCTGCTGTCGCGTTATTTATCGGCTCCACTGTGCGCGGGAGCCAAGTCTCCTGAAATTGGCGAGAAGAGTGCGGGCGAAATGGAAAAAAAAGAGAGAGAGAGAGTCGAGAGAATTTTTGTTCATTGGCAGTGTAGGAAATCCGTCATCCATCAACGCTCGAAAGGCGCGATCGAAATTTTATGACCCACATCCGGAGGCGGCTATTAAAGCATAAGCGTTCCCTCAATTTGAATTTTTTTGCGTTATTATGCCCGGCAAGCGCGGTTTTATTACTTTCAATTCCCGCGCTCAGCACCGACATCGCTGACTACACGGGGATATATTAGCATGGAGAATGGCGCGAATTAATTCGGAAAGTTTCGCGCGTCGTCTCTACGCAAGGAGATCCTCGTAACAGCTCGGAACCAGCGTTTTCTCCGGCTACCGTCACTTTGTTCCCGTGAAAAATGGAAAAGAGGGAGAAAAGGGAACGAAGCTGAGGGAGGGAAAAAAAGGATCGATTGGTAATTTTATCCATTGCTACGGATACTCAACGACGCTCCTGCTCGTTCGGAACTTTTGAAGAATTTGTGCAACGACCGATCTATCCGACGAATTCCACCCTCTTATCCGTCGTCACGAGAGTTGGAAAGTTTACTTTTGCAGATAAACCATTCTCCCCCTTTGATTACCTTGCTTTTCTAATTGCCCCGTTCGCCCTCTCGAAATATTAGGTTTTTCAGCGGCTGAAATTAGTCCGGTCGGTAATTTTTGTACACAACAGTTAGAGAAGAATTTGAACAGTAAGAAACGAAAATAAAGTATCGGCGCACAATCCAAATATTCGCGTAATTTTTTTGCACAAGTTTCAACTTAAGATTGCTGACTTTTTGCTGGGGAACGAGCCAAGAGGAAGGCCCGATAACGTTTTCAGAAGAATCATTTAAACGTGAAATTTTCACGGTGAAGAAAAGTATGAAATTTTGCCAGATCCTCCCCTATTCACTCGACCTTTCCTCAAACACCTGAACAATTCTTCGACAAATAAATTATTCCCAAATGAAGCATTCGAAGAACTTTTTCACTCCAAAAACAACAACGAAACTGGTTAATCGTTGGAAAAAAGCGTACCTACCTGTAGAATCATGCGAAAATTATTTCTGGAAGGGACGCAACGAATTTAAAAAGCACAATTTCGAGATCCGCCAACCTAATAACAACGGCGGGACATTTGGAAACATTTGTCCGGTGATTTGCAAATGTCGTACATTCTCTCCAACCGGGGATATTTCTGTCTACATCGTTAGACAAAGTACCGCGATATTTTGACGCAAACATAGATCACGTCATAAAATATGCAACTTAACCCATTACCGGTGTCACCGTGCACCGCTTCGGGGTAAAAATTCATAATACTCTCTGCTCAAACATCGCCGAAAACGCAGCATCCCCCCGTCCAACTCCACTTAACCCATTTCGTACATCCGAAACCTGCGTTTCAAGGACCCGCGGCCCCGTTCCAACCACCCTATATACATACGCCTGTATAAATTCATTTATTCATTTGTCGCGTTCCGGCCGAACGATCGCCGGGAGCGCGTGACGAAACGGGACAGGAAAAACTTTGTGAATGCAGCAAGCTCGTATGTTCTCTGTTTCCAGTTCTCGGCTCGTCCAGGTCGGAGGCACGACTGCCGTCGGCGCGGCTGGTCCTTGGATTGTTCGCGTTCCTTCTGATCGCCATTCGTTAACCGTACAACCCGCAATTCAACTACGCGCGCTTTTGGAGCTGTTTATATAAATCGACGTGCTTGTAAGAAAAGTCTGGGGCCGCTTTGTGTGACGTGGTCATCCTCCGGCGACACCTCGCGTGTCGCAGTCCCTTGTATTTTCGAAGGGGGGACCACAGTGTGCCAGAACGGAACGAAGAGGAACGCGGGTGGTTTCTTTCTTGGCCGGGAACGAGACGAGACGAAGAGGGAAAGACTGGGATCCGAGCTGACGCGAGAAATTACGAAGAATCGACGAGGCTATGGATGAGACGGTGACGACGATTGTACCAGTTCCGCGAGGAGAACACGGAGATCAGCCACGTGAATTTGTCCAGGATGATCGAGAAGACGCGATCAACGAGGAAGAAGAAACACGTGCGTAGAAAGCTGCTGTCCCGCCAACTGTGTCGACGTTGAAGACCGGAGAAAGCGAGACGAAACGACGGGAATATCCGAGGAATATTTTATTATTAGACTGTTGTACTACTTGCTTCCTTTTCGGCGGTGATCATGTGTTTTGCATTGTGTAGGTATGATAACGGTAAATAGAGGTACGTTTACGGCGCATCGTTTGTTCGCGGAGAACGAAACAAAAAGGGAGAAAGAAAAAAAAGACGATAGTTTTCTTTTTTGGTACTTTTATAAAACACACGACAGAAAGACTAACCGAAACGTAGCGTGGATATACGCGTGTATCTATGCACACGTGTGTACACTCTGACACGTGTATATATACACACGCGTGTGCGTGCATGTGTGTGTGTGTGTGTGTCTATAATCTGTCTCTGTCGCTCTAATTGTTTCTCACTCCCTGTCTCTTCATCCGTGCCTCGATTCTAATCAGAAACGCGTTTCGATGACATCACGCGGTTCGCCTAAACGAGATACAAAGAGGAGAGAAAAAAGAGAAAAAGACGAAAAAAAGGTGAAAAAAAGAAAAATGAAATAAAACAGAGGAAAAAATATGAGACAATGTACATGAGGAAACAGTGTGCGAGGAGATGTACCTGATGAATCGGATATTCGACGAGTCACTTTGCGCTGCCCACTGTCGTTAATATCTAGTATTCTTATAAGTGAGGACGATGATGAACGGTTTGGCGAAGGATAATAAACGTCGGAGCGCTTTTTTCCCGCCGCCTGTTAGGGAGCTCGAGCGAGAGGAACAGGCGAGAAACGGAGGGAACGAACGAAAGGGGAGAATTGAAGAAGAAAGAAGAAACGAAATTTGTGTTTTCGACCAGAAAATAGAGAAAAAAACGGAGGATCCTTTTTGTTGCCTTTTTCGCAATTAGGTTTACCAAATTAATACCGCTTTCCATCCCTCTCCGCGTTCGATTTAACGCATCCCCCTTCGATATGCGTTTGTCAACCGCGTTTGATACGCCTCCGAGCGAATGATATTTTAAAGAAAGGCGATTCACACACGGTCTCACCGTTCTGTTTACAATGAATATTTACATCGAGCTTAACTGTTCTCCCCCCCGAGCTACATTTCCGGTCGGAACGTTGTTTCCTGTTGCTCACGCGCCGATGTCGTCGCCCGCCTCGAATCGGTACGCACACGCCGAGTTGTATGTAAGTATTCCTTGCGATTTGTCACACAAAGATCTATTTATTTATTTATTTATTTTTTTATTTGTCGTTTCGCAATAACGGACGAGGCATGACGAGTGAACGGGAAGAAAGAAATGTGGCATAAAGAGGAACGAAAATGTCGTGTATACGGGGTGTGCCAGGTGAAACAGCTCGGTTAATTATCTGCTGAAGGTATGGTAGCGGTGCCGGGGACATTTTCGCGTGTAATTTAAACAGTTTCAAAGGGACGGTACAAGATGGAAGAGAGATTCTTTTATAAACGACACTTTTTCTCTAGTTTTCCTCAAGGTTGCCTAAATGCTCTTTTTTCGCACGAACGTGTACATATGTTTTCCTACCGTGTGTCGTAGCAGACGTCGACGTGATCGTAGAATGACCTTGGATTCTGAAATTCTTCAGAAAAGGCGGAAAAAATCTTCGAAACCGCTTAAATTACGTGTGAAAGATTTTGTCCCGCGGCGCGACAGTTGGGCGGAGATAATTAGGCGGTCTACTTCGCGTGGCCCACGCTGTATATGTATATATATATATGTATATGTATATGTATGTTATGTATTAACGAGCGATGTGTGCTAGTATTAGTTACGAATTATTGATTAAGGATCGCAACGACTGAATAATACTCTACATGATTTTCTAATTGTAATAAGTATTTTTGAAACCGTCATCGTTTCTATGTAGCTGAACACGGGCGTAACGTTCGACTAGGGAACGTGTTTCATTCAGAGAATTAGCCAAAGTAAAAAAGAAACCAAAAAAGAAAGAGTGAGAGTGAGAGAGAGAGAGAGAGAGAGAGTTGTGTAATTGAATATTTTCGAACGGGTCAAATAATTAATACGTTTAACGAAGAAGAAAGAGGAATACAAAAAGCGAAAAAACCAAGAAAACAAAATAACAAAAGGAGTAATGCAAAGTGTCAGAGAAATCTCGCGTGTCCGCAGCATAGTTTCACGGTTCTTTGTGTAATAGAAATGATGCTAGTCAAAAGATTTATGCCAACGTTTTTTGGTATCGATGCTCATTATTTTCCTCAGCTTGTCACGATACGAAAGAATATTTATGATAATAATAACAATATGACCACAACATCGTTTCATTTCATACCACCAACCAAGAAGAAAGAACACGAATTTCATTATAATTTCACAGTTAGAAAAGAGAAAGAAGAAAGATCAGCAAACACAGAGGAGTATCTTGCTCTGCTTTAAAAATATACCTCACCTGTTAATTCTCCGCTCAGAAACCAACAGTGTACCGTTAAAAATTACTCGTAAACAGGTGAAAAAAAAAGACAGTCCTTTCAATTTCTCAGTATTAATCAAGCATCTCCCTCCCTTTTCGCGAAATCGTAATTTCGCCGAAAATCGTGCGACAGCACGCTTAAACGACCGTGCGCTCCTGAAAATCCGGGGTAAAATCGGCCGGAATATATTCTGCGCTGCAATTAATCGCAACCTTACAGGCCGGAGCGGACGGAATAAGGGGCAATTTCCAGAAACGATTCTTCCGCAGAAAACGGTGCCGCGGTATTAACAAGCAGAATTGTCGTCTACCTTATCGTCGAGTTTTAGCAGTTTTCTGACAAGAAAATTCTAAACTTGAGGCAAACACGGATAGGAAATGTGCGAAATAACAACGATCTGGCCGGATATTTCAATCTTTCACCTGGAGGATGAAATATTTGAAGTGAGAATTATGCAAAAGGGTATCCGGTTATTGACACAAGGGTTGAAACGTCCTTAAAGAATCGCGAGGAGGATCTTTCGTAAGTAAGTCAGCGGCGTGTATAAAGCGATCCGAAACTCCGGTAATAAGCATTATTTTATCAAAGGTTCGCCGATTGAATCGCGTTACCGGCGTTATTACTCCATTTGTTTCCGCATCAACGGCAATGATGTTGATGAAATAATTCAATCACCCGTTTCGCATGCGATACGATCATCATCGTGGAAGCGGTGTGCGCGTGTGTGCACACACTTCTTCCTTCCTCTAACGTTCACCCTCCCTCTCTCTCCCGCTATTAATCCATCGAAGATGCGCTATTCACAACCGACTAATCCGTTTATTCTTTTAAATCCGAAATCCCGTTCGAAAAAGGCACGCTCCGACGCGTCGCGCTTTTACTTACACGAGAGGAGAGGCTTAAGCGCTTCCCTGGCCCCGAACGCTTTTTTCGATTGTCCGGCGCTGGTTCGAAAACCAGTGTTCAACGAAACTTGCTTAACCTGCAACTAGGCGAGTGCTTTTGTCCAGGGGAGAGAGAGAAAAGTGACCGGGTGTATTTTGCACGGGGACAAATTTAGAAACTTGCGTTTTACACCCTTCGTCGGCAACGAAACGAAATTTTCGGGCAATTGCAATTCGGGGGGAAAAAGGGGCGATCCTGTTTGCAGGAGTGAGATATCGAGGACGGAGTTGCTTAAAAATTAATTACAAATTTTTACATCGCGTTGGATTAACTATGAAGAATTCGTTTGTGTGAAATTTCGAAGACTCGCTTTTAGTCGAAAAAAAGAAGAAATAGGAAAAGTGACTGAGAATTTGGAAATTTAACACGTTGAATTAGTAAAAGCATTTAATTTGAATAAATGGTAGTGTTTGTAAAATTTTCACCTAATGCATCATACAGCATATTTACATAGTTTTATTTCTAACTATTGGCATATTATTTATGCATATTGCAGTGTGTTGTATTAGAATAAAAAATTCTTTTCGGCACCGTGGACAAGTTACGTAGAATTGGCCCGGCATTCAACGTGTTAACGGAGAAAATTGAATAATGCAACTTGTTGAAAAAGAGGAGTATGATAATATCGTAGGGCTGAGATGTGGAGCGCGAGATTTTGCGAGCCGGATGAAAATCGGTGAAAAATTCATACGATATATATCGTGTACGATTGATTATAAAGAATTCATTTGTATGAAATTTTCAGTGTTCCGTTTCAGATTTATCGTTGACATGCGAGCGTAAACTGGTGGGACAGTCATTTTTAGATTGATTTCGATATTCGTTATGTCGCGACAAGTTTGCCTAACATTCCCGGGGTAAATATTCGCTGTGTGTTTAGTTGGATGAAACAGTAACACTATCTCTCTTCGCTTCCTTTTTTTTCTTTTTTCTTTTATCAGCGAATTGACCTCCAGTTATTACGTAACGATATTCCATTGTGGCTGTATTGGATATTTCGTCGGTGACGAATCACTCTTTGTGATTGATCACCATAACAATCGACGTTGCAGGGGGTTGGGGGGGGGGGGGGTAATTACAAAGAAAGAAACATGGCGATACAGTAATTTCTGCATTACCGCGCGATAGTAATTAGTGGAACGCCATTTACTTTAAATGACGTCTATTTCATTGCAGTGTAATACGTTTCAGCCGACAAT